CACAAGAGACTGTTTTTGCTGCAATCACACGAGTTTTATTGACAGGAGCCAGTGCATTGGGGCCCAGACTCATAACCCATGCAGGGGAGGAGTTCGACCCCGAGTAGCTGGAAGAAGGGGTATTTCAGGGAAGAAACCACAACCCAGTAATCCAAGTCATTGGAAATTCTGAAAATACCAGTGATAATCACAAGGGGGTAACTCCCTGCTTCTCAAGATTATCCTCTAAATTACAATCTAACTATATCTTCAGCTAATTCCTGAAACAGAGTCACTGAACTGACTAATCCTAGATTTTTGGCTCTTCTTTTCCTGCTAGAGGGGTCTGGATTTATCCGGGTCTTTCAAATCCAGGTAGAACAGTCACTCACAATCTTTCATCATGATCAATGACCACTCTTGAGATCTGATACTTTATTGGCCTCCTCAATCCTCACCCCTGATATTTAGGTTTTCAACTTCCTTTTAGCCGACAACCTTTAAAGACAAGTTAACTAGAATTCATCCTCTCAATATAAATCAAATTACTCTCAGCATTTTTCAATTTACCAATGCTTCACTCTGTTCATTTGGTATAAACTCCAAGCTGTGTTTTTTATTGGAAGTTGGTCTCAGTTTACTCTCTATTCCCCTTCCTCCACTTTAGGAGCTCCATTAAGACCTGCTTTGCTGGTTACCAAGTGCCCCATTTATAATTTTTCTTTATTCTACCATTAGAGGTTTTCGGCACCATATAAGTAACTACAATAAGAGATTACAATCAGTGTGTGTGGGGGAGTCAAGAAGAGCCACAGTGGAAGAGAGGAACTCTGGATGAAAAGCATAAGGGACTTTTTGTTTGTTAAGGAAAACAGGATGAATTTTTTTTTTTTTACTTAGAAAAATAACTGATTTTCCCAAAATCTGAAATGAGAATGTAGGGAAGACCTGCCTGAACAGAGAAGGCTGTCAGTTTCACAGAAAGGCCAACTTATTTACCGTCGTCAAATCTAGTTCAGTGTTGATAAGGTTGTCTATAAGATTTTAAATAAGATTTTAGCATCAAATATTATGCAGATACAATACTACTATTTGGTTTTCTCTATTAAAATGACAACAGTTTCTTAGATTAATGGTCTTCTCTTAATAAAATATTGTAAAAGACTTGCCTTATGAATAATCTATTGAAAAGTTAAACATTCAGATCCTTAACAGTATAATTTTCTGTGTTCTATGTTGATTTTTACCATGTCCTTGATTATTAAGGAAACAAAATCTCCACTTAAAAGATCTACAAGTGAGTTGTCACGCGTATTCTCTTCAACTATCTTCCGTCTTTATTTAGGATTCATACTCAGATCCTGCATACGGTATGCAAGTAGTGTTGTTGAACTAATCCTGAACTCCCTAAAATTCTTTAAATGCCATTTGGTTAAATAGGAAATCAAGTTTTGTTTCTGAGCACCACACTGTCCTGTTCAATTGTGTTCAGATTTTCCGATAACTTTATGTATTTTACATTTCCCAAATCCTAAATGAGATCTTTGGTTTTGTCAAGGAAAAAAAATGTATAATTGAGTTGAGTAAGGTAAATACGACTAAAGTGGACTACTGTTATAAGAAAACAACGGCGTCTAATTCAGAGATTTCTGGTAAGGAGAATGTGAAAGAAGCTCTTATAAGCGGCGATCCTGACTAGCAAAGTGAAGGAGGTACAGTAATAAAAGCTGGTGTGTACTTTCATGGAATGCGGATGAGGAGAATTTCAATTAGGTTAGGAGAAAATGGAAGTCTCCGGGGTCAGAGTTTTCACCCTAGGAGGGCTATTTGGCCTTCTGACTAAATCAGTGAGGTCTCCTTTAAATCATTACACACAAAGAAAAAGGGGAAATTAAAGAAAAAAAAACCATGTATTAGCACAGAAACGAAGCTGAAACCAAGGACATGTATTTCAGGGGAGTAGAGGGTTGGCGGATGCACCCTTCTGATTGAGCGGTAAGAGCACAGTTCCTTGAGTTTTCTGATGTTCTTGCTGATGTTCTACAGTACCTGGGCAATCTTCCTCAGAAGATGACTTAGCATTTCAATGGATAGGTTTAGTGGTAAGGACAGCTGCATGTCCAGGAGAAAATAGGGCCCAATCATAGCCTGCGACAGCCATGGTTCTTTATAAATGCATGACAAGATCCTGGGATTTATCTGCCAGAAAAAAAGCAGAAAACCAGGACTACAACAAGGATTGGTACAAAGAGGTTTAAGTCTCACAGGAAAGAGACAAAGTATAAGGGTTAATTTAGAAATACAGAGATATGTAGAGAGATTAAAAGAAACATGAAGATCAGAAAACTAGGTTGAAGGTCGGCAATTTGGGCAAGGTGCAGAAAATTTGGAGAAGGCTGACAATTTGTATAAGGTATAAGAACCAAGTAAATTTTGAAAACTGACATCCAAATTAACATGTCTACAGTGCAAGAAAAAAAAAAGATTAAATCTCTGCCAAAGCTAGTTTGTATATCAGTCTCATGCAGTTGCAAAGGGGTATAAGGCAGTTTGAGCAGAAGTGCACAGGACTAGAATCTGGTAATCCAGAAGACTGGACCATTGTCTCACTGAAAGGTGCATATTCTCCTAAAGTCTCCTACTTTTTGATTTTTCTTGACCACTCAGTCAGGGATTTGTTTGACCTTGCTGGATTTGCCCTGCCTCGTCACACAGGTGTAGCGAGAATGGCAATTTGTAGGGAGATTTGCTTATATTTGCTCTGCTGGAAGATATAGTGGACAACCTCAAATTGTACTTCTCAGAGTCTCTGTGGGTAAGAAGCCAAGCTAAGAGCTCATTGCCCCGCGTGGCTTGCAGAGTCTGTTGGTAGCAGGGATTCTATTTTCCTTAGGACTCCAAACGACTCCTGAGCCCGATGGGAAGCAATTTTCTTCCTTGCCTATAAGACTGGAGACTCTGAAGGCCAGGTACCAGGCACGATTCCTCCAAATAGCTAGGCATAGCTCTTAAAGGTCTATTGTAAAATTTGATGAAACGAGAGTCATTTTCAAATACTGCTCTCCAGGATAAACCTTGGTTAAATTGCCTGCGTTTCTAATTTTCCAGCTTGGTTCTATTCTGTGGGTATCTGAGATAGTCCTCTTTTGTTGCTGATAAATCCCTCTGCCCTGTAGTTAATTTGCCAGTAATGGTAGAAAGTATCAGAGTATAACACATTCAGCTACCGAAGACAGAGTTAAAATGGCTGTGGTTAGCATTATTTTAAGCGTTTGAAAATTAAAAGACCCAATGAAAGTTAACTACAAAATAATGTAATTTAATTGCCATATTTTGATTATTTATCTGACACTTAAAGTCAATTCAGAAGTTTTAAGCTAAATATACATACATGGGAAGATTAATTCTATTTTCAAAGAAGAGTGCATATGGTATCTAACTTACGAAAAAGATAAGCATATTTTTCACAGAGAAAAATTTCAGATATAATAGTTATGAGCCATCATATGTCATGAATATCAAGCACATAGAATATACCAAGAATATGTATATCAGGAAAATATATTAAGTGTGTGTGCATAAGCAAGGAACATCTGAATGAAATAAATCTATTTCTGTCTTGCTGAAAGGGAGACTTTATTATACTTAATTCACCGTATCAAATTACTCCCATTAGCTGAAGATGCACCTAAACCATGTGAACTTGAGTTTTTAAGACATTCTATTAAAGACTTTATAATAACAATTACTTTTACCTTGGTCATATGGAAACTTAAATTTCTTAATTTTATAGGCTTTTATTTAGCTCTAAGCCGGTCCAAAATGAGCCCCTTTAAGGGATTTTATAATTGAATGTGGTAATACAATCTGGATGTAAGAAAACATTGCACAGATACGGTTTTTACACACACACACACACATGCATGTATGCATGCACATGTGTCCATACAGACAAATATGTAAATAGCTTAACAGATTCTAATTTTGAATTTTAGCCATGATTGAGGCCTTATCACAGAAACATAAAGCTTGTTGGTTTATAGAAAATAATGGAGTCTCATCTGCCGTTTTCATTTTTATAAAGATTATGGTTTGGTAGAAGGGCAAATGAAAGTCACCAGCTTGTAATAAGGGCAGAAGTCTTTTCACCACTATTGGTATAGAGTGTCTTTATGCTGTCCTTGGACCTGATGTATAATTTCGTGAAGGCTGTGGGCTAAAGTAAGGAGGTAGAGAAGAGACAGTGGTAGTCGTCTGGTATTTCTCAAGCCTGCTTGTGGATAAGCATTTAGTTTGTCTTTTCTTAGACTTGTCAGACTCAGACTGCTCTTGTTGGTGTCCCTAAGCTCCCACAGAGCCACCAGTAAGGGTGTGTGTTGCTTTCATGCGATGCATGAAATCATAAGAAAGTGAGAGGCCAAAGTGAGGTCCGGCAGAAGTGGGCAAAGAAATAGAGTGCATGGAGGTCTTGAAGTTGAGAAGATTCAGACTCAAGTCAGGCTAAGTAAAGACAGAGGAGGTGGAGATGTTGGAACAGATAATGGAAATGCCTGATGATAAAAGACACTGGGGAAAACAGGTGGCCTTTGAGGGAAGCCATGTCTCTGCAAAGCTTTTTGAAAGAATGTCATGGTTTCCTTCTATAACAAATAAGAGGGTGAGAAAAAAAGCTACGTACTACTTAGGTGAGATCTTAGAGGTAAGGAAACAAACATCTCTTCACAGAATGAGACAGTTTGGGAAGATTCTGAGTTTCGTCAAGAGCATAATCTAGGATGTGAGGGGTAATAAATGATTGACAGTTTACCTTGACAATAAAAGGAACTCCTACCAGTGCTAGAGGTCTTGGACCTGAAACTGAGGTATGGTTTCCTAGGAGTTTAACCATATATTTTTAAAAATGTGGAAGTATTTAGAGAAAGAGAAGAAAAAGACAAAACTGAGGGAAAACTAAAGTGGACTTTCAAAGGAAAAAAAGATTAGAATTATGAGATATTAGAATTGGGAGGGTGGAGACTCACCATTGTGGATTTTGCTTTTCAAGACAGGCTTCAAAGAGTTCAACACGATGGCATTATCACTTGGGCAAGGAGAGCAGGAGGGAAGCCAGCATTCTGTCCAAATCACAGCACGTTGTAGAGAAACAGCAGTTGAGGTGTAGTCAAAATTCTGTTCAAATTGTGGCATCCTTACTGCGGCAGGAAAAAAAATCCAGTCTAGACATGAACATGAAAACATATCAAGAAGGCTATTGCAATAGGAAGAGGGGAGAAGTATCCCACAAAGTCTCTTGAAGCTCAAATCACAAATGTCTCATGAAAAGAATGAGTGAGCAAAGTATTATATGCAGACTTGGTCATGGAAAGAAGTGCGCAAGGGAGAGGTGGAGATGAGAGTGTTTTTGAAGCCTAGCAAACACCATCAAACCCTGTGAGAACAGGAAAGCCAGTGCAGGAAATGTGGGTTTGTGGTCATGCACATACAGGAAGCAGCTCCACTTTTGTCGGGCAAACAATTAAAAGCATGGGAAAGGTAGGGAGGCACAAGGGATGGGTGTCTAGCGACCCCTAGCAAACCAACCATCGTTTGTACCAAGAACATTTGATTAGCTAGCTTCATTAGCTCCTAAAACTAGTGTCATCTCCGAGAGACCCCTGGACAATCATGCAGGTTCTTCCCCCCTTCATTGGAAGAAGGCTTAGAAATGGTGCTGGTTATTTGAAGCATTACAATAAGACACATGGGAAATATTGTTAAACATAACGAAGTTTACAACCTCCCCTGTGTCACATTTGTACGAGTCAATGTTAGTTATGGGAATGTTTTAAAAATTGTATTCTGCACAAGAAGGATGAAGATGATGGTGAGTGTTTCTACTGCCCATGATAGACCTTTATGGACCAGAGTCCTACTTGCAGCTTTTTCTAATGTAAGACAACAGTGTAGCGTTATGCCATGTTTTAATTCCTTTTTGAACATTAACATGGTTATAAGTTTATTTCTTTCACTTGAACCTCGCACCTCTTAGGCTGGTTGCCTTCACTTCAGGATTCATACCACTGATCTTTGAAGTCCTGATAATACACCAATGCTTAGAATCTACTTCTGATGTATGGCATTTGTTTACCTGGGCATCTTGGTAGATTTGTCTGGGAACTTTAGTGATATTTTGTGTATATACAATAAATAATGTCTTAGAAGGCTTTGCTTTCATATGTTAGGTACCATATCCATTCTTCATTGGAAATACTCTATACTCTTTAAGCATTGTGTTTAGGGCCTTAAACAATGTGTTTAAACATTGTGGTACCTTGTATAAAACTTTTGGGGGGGGATAGACTTGGTTTTATAAGACATTAGAACCATCAAATGTTCCTGCCAGCTGAATTAAACATTGTTCAGGTCACTCACTTCAAAAAATGTCCATATAAGACTAATAGTTTCAGCTTGTTGGATAGATAGATTTTTTTTTTGGTTGGTTTGCTTAACTCAGTTGCTCCATGACACCGTTCATGTGCTCCAGGCTAGAGAGTTTTGTCTCTAACAGCCACAACCTGGGTTTCTGTATCACTGTATGTTCAAAGCTGAGGACTTATTGTAAGCCTCAGGGCTGTACCATCTCATTGGCTTACTCTTCAACTGCTCTAAGCATGGATAGACTGCTGTTGGGACCACTAAGAAAGTCTAATGAAATTTTCAGGTTACACGTCCTCATGAACACAGTGGATTCAACGATTAACACAACTGTCACAGCAGCTTCAAAGCTCTGTGTGCAATTGGATAAGATATGCAACGCATTACGGTTTGGGTATGTTCTGAGTTGATGCAGCAAAGTTTCACATGCTGATGGCCTAGCCCCTACTGTGGTATGATGAGGTGATAGAACCTTAAAGATGTATGCGTTAGTGGAAAGAGCATACGTCTTGGGTACCACCTTCAGAAAGGATTAAGACAAATCTTGATGGGCACAGTAGCTCTTGAGAAGATTGTGATGAAGTCAGTTTTGTTGTATCAGACTTTTTGTCTTGTTTCCTGTATCACCCTGTGCTCTGCTTTTCGCTGTAACACATATGCCAGTCTGATGCCGTCCATCATTTATGATGTAGCCAGAAGCCCATTACAAAAGTCAAACAGATGACAGGTTCATGTTCTTGGACCGCCAAGACTATAAACTTGGTGTTTTCTATCTTAGCAAGCACCAGCTATTTTGTTGCAATGTCAGAAAATGGACTAAGAGACAGATAATGGACAGTCCGCGTATAACTGTGACCAAAAATTCTTGTAATAACTAATTTAATGGCACGTCTAGAAGCTTCTCAAATTGGCTTCCAAATCCATCATAACATAGTTAATTATTGTCAGACTCCACAATTTTTGCTACATTTCAAGTTTAGGGCCAAAAATGCATTCCTAAATTTAACACTATTCAATATTTATGTTCTAGTTTCCTTTCTTTTGCTGTGATAAATACTCTGACCCAAAGAAAGAATTTATTTGATTTACACTTTGAAGTTATAGTCTATCATCCAGGGAAATCGGGGCAAGAACTCAAAAGCAGAAGCCATAGAGAAGTACTGCTTTCTGGCTTGTCCCTTTCCTATTCATGGCTGGCTTTCTTATACAATACAGTCCAGGACAATACAGTCCAATTGACTGGACCCTTCTGCATCAAGTGAATAATCAGCACAATCTCCAAATGCTACATTGCCACAGACAAATCTGATCTAGAAAATTCCCCAATCTAGTTTTTCTTTCAGGTGACTATAGTCTTACTGCTTCTAGTTGACTTGCCTCTGACTTTCCCCCACTAACAGTCTTAGTTTGGGCATATGCATAAACCTTTCTTTCACTACAGAGTTCTCAATACTTTCTATACTGGAGTCTCCAACAAACTCATACAATGTACGCTGGGTAAATCTTTTATCAACCGCTGTATAGCATTTGTTCATAGTTTAATGATCTTTATTTACAGTTTTCTTGGAGATTCTACCAAGATTTTGTTTATACTGTGCATCTTCTCTCTTCCATGATGGTTCAAACTATATAAGCTTATCCTAGGCTCCTGATCAAAATGACCACGAAGTTTATCTGGATACTATTGGCAATGAATGGCAACTTTTCTGTGATATCAACATCTCTCTTAGATCGATCAAGTGAGACTTTGATCCTGAGAGAGAAAACTCAGCAGGTTTTCCATATTCTGAAGAAGGCTTTTTAGCGTGCTTTACCTTTAGGAATTCCTAGTTATCAAAAGCTGGTTCATTACTTTGTGTGTAAGTGGTCTGGACATTCACTTAGTGAAGGTCTCTAGCATGCCTGAGCATGGTAAACAGCTCTGGCAGGCCTTGCCCTTCCCCCTTTCCCTCTGCTTTGCTGCAGATATTGTTTTCCTCGAGGGACAAAGGATTGTCTTTGGATAAAGAGGAGATAGATACGGCCTAAAGACAAATATCAATTTACAAAGAGAAAAAGGAAAATCCTATGTTAGGGTAAGTTGTTTTGTTTTGATTTGGCATCTTAATTAAAGTAGCCACAAAGGGGCTTTTGACCTCTGGACTTGCCTTGTTCCTTTCCCCTTCTTCCTTGTTCTCTATCTGTCTTTGTCTCTTATTTCTGACTCTTTGTCTCTCTGGGGCAAACATATCTTCTCTGTGTGGAGAACTTGATCTTGGAGTGTCTTGTGTCACTTTGGTCATTTCACTTTGGGTTTGAATTCAGTTCCCAGAGAGCCATCGCAGACTTGTTACTGTAGCCTCAACCTTGACCAGATTTATTTTCTTTTAGTAGTCTCTCATACATGACATCTCAACTGCAGTCTTCCCTCCCCTCTACTCTTCCCAGTTCTCTCCTTATGCCCTCTCTCCCCCAGATCCACTATTCTTCACTTCCCTTAAAAAAGAAAGGCAGGCCTCAGTAAGACCCAGGATAAAACCAAGCATGACTGGGGAAAACATCCATGAAATGATTTCTTATACTCATAGATAGGTGCCTAGCCCAATTGTCGTCAGAGGGATATTAGTCAGCATCTGATGAGAGCAGATGCAGAAGATGCAGAGACCCACACCCAGACACTAGGCAGAGCTAGGGGAACCCTGCAGAAGAGGGCAGGAAGTGTCTCAGGAGCCAGAGGGGTGGAGGATTTTCTCAGAACACAGCCCACAGAATAATCAACTTAGCAGGGCTAACAGGGTTCAGAGAGACTGACACTACAGTGATGGACTATGTATGGTTATGAATTAGGTCATATNNNNTATATAATGGCTGTGTAGCTGAATGTTCTTGTGGGACTCCTAGCTATGGGTGTCTGGGGTGTCTCTGACTCTTTAGTCTCCCCTTGACCAGATTTAAAAGCCTCATTTTCCAGACACAGAAAATAAAATAAGTGAAACTTCAGACCTTGGTACTTCTATGGAACAGATTTTAAGCTCTCTGCCCGGTCTTCTGGTTCCTCATCTTATAGTAAAATTTATCCAAGACATTAAACTCTTTTCTCACAGCCCTGCCACGTCTGCTATCCACTGAAGTCCTTGCTCTCCTGAAATACTAGCGCCAGTGAGACTACCTTGCTTCAGTTAGGAACTTGATGTGCCTCACCTCACTCACATGTACTAGAAATCTCATTGAGAAGCATCCCCTAGCATTGTGTTGGTGGATCTGATTTCAAAACTGACACCAGAGGTTATGAGGCAGGATTGTTAGCATATGGCTCTTTATTTGCAGTAAAACTGGTCCGGATGGCAGAATTACTGCACCGAGTTTGTCAACTAGCCAACCGCTAGAGAATATGCATCTATTAAGAGCAGATATAGCTTTGTAGTGGCTTACGACCTTCATGTGCTTCTATGGCAAGAGGATTTCTTAGCTCGCTAAAAAGAAGAGGTGTGGACTTGGGAAACTTTAGATGCATTCCTATTACCTTGAAGGATGACTGTTATAAAGGTTGAGACTCTCCTACAATAAGGATGATAAACTAACTAAAATAAAGCTGGAACAGGACATTAAGCCAAACAAGCTGCTGCAAGGAAGGTCACGATACAACCTCACATCTCAAAGGGTAGATGCTGGTGGCACTGAACTTGAAGAAGAGCCCTCCTGTTTTATGTTTTGGCTACACAATCTCTGGGTCCTCTCAAGATAGCTTTTTGTGATTCCAGATCATTTCAAATTAATATTTAAAAAATTGTCCATAAAGATACCCATGGAGTGGATTGCTACCAATATAGCAATCACAACAAGATAGCTGTCTATTTTCAGGACATGTGTCACCTGCCAGCAACATAATTCTGTAAGAACTATAAAGGTGGGACATGCCTGGGATCCAAATTCTCAGTGACACTTTGAAAGCCATCACAAGGATTTTATGTAGGTTCCAACATCCATAGGATTTGAA